TTGACCTTTGAAACCCCTATATTTGACTGTGAGGATGCTTTAAATTTTTTATTCCTAATGAGATACTTGTTTGGATGCAATTCAACGGGAAGGGACGAATACATGGATTATACATTGATGTAATTAGGAATTCATGAGTGGAGTATAAACCTCCTATTATTAGGAATTCACGAAGGGGGGGGGGGTTTCAAGCCTCCTATTATTAGGATTTTATTAGAGGGGAGTATAAACCTCTTATTATTAGGCATTCATGAGGGGAGTATAAACCTCTTATAATTAAGAATTCATGAGGAGAGTATAAACCTCTTATTATTAGGAATTCATGAGGGGAGTATAAACCTCTTATTATTAAGAATTCATGAGGGGAGTATAAACCTCATATTAATAGGAATTCATGAGGGGAGTATAAACCTCCTATCATTAAGAATTCATGAGGGGAGTATAAACCTCCTATTATTAGGAATTCATGAGGGGAGTATAAACCTCATATTAATAGGAATTCATTAGGGGAGTATAAACCTCATATTATTAGGAATTCATGTGGGGAGTATAAACCTCATATTATTAAGAATTTATGTGGGGAGTATAAACCTCATATTATTAGGAATTCATGAGGGGAGTATAAACCTCATATTATTAGGAATTCATGAGGGGAGTATAAACCTCATATTATTAGGAATTCATGAGGGGAGTATAAACCTCATATTATTAAGAATTTATGTGGGGAGTATAAACCTCATTTTGTTAGGAATTCATGAGGGGAGTATAAACCTCTTATTATTAAGAATTCATGAGGGGAGTATAAACCTCATATTAATAGGAATTCATGAGGGTGATATAAACCTCATATTATTAAGAATTCATGAGGGGGGGGAAGTATAAACCCCCTATATTTAAGAATTCATGAGGGGGGGGGATTACACGTATTCATGTTTTATCAATGAAGAATGCAGAATTATGTTTGCCTTGAATATATTAGTTTTCTCTCCTTATCTCTGGATATTATTGTCCCAAGTTTAATTATGTCAGAAAAAAGGATAAAAACAGATTTGTGCAAACAAAAACAATTTCTAATTAATAACGAACAAACTAAACATTTTTGTTGTCTCCAAACAGATTTAGAATTTTTAAAGTTAAGGACGAAGTCAAGGTGCATGGATTCAAGTGCAAACAAAGAAGGTGTTACAACGTTATATTAAAAACTATCTGTAAGATTAATTTCAAATGACCTTTAATGCAAAGATGGCAATGCCCAACGCACAACAATACCCTTGAAACCTTAAAAATAATTTTGTTATAGATATTGTCGTTTTTCTAGGTTTAAAAGTGTTTAATTCTGTTCATGTTCATGCTTTCATGTCTGCAGACAGTATAAATTCGCAAGTCATTTTTGAAGAGACACCACAATTCAATTCAAATTAAATTATAAACATTAATATCTAATTCATACTTGATCAGACAAAGCTTTTAAGGGTACCGTTGTAAATCCGGCATTGCCATATTTGCATGAAGGATCACTTGAAATTACGCGAACAGTCCCTTTAAATTTCTTAAATTTCACCATAATTTCCCTAGATAGATGTATCTAGGATTATATCCCTTAAAATCCAAGGTTTCTTCCTTCATTTCCTGTTTTCCGTTAACACTTTTTAATTGGAATTCATTAAAAAGCTTGAATCTTGTTGTGTTGTAGTTTTCACTTATCCTTTGATTAAAAATTGGAAAAGAAATTGAGTCTTTGCCACATTTTTAAATCCCAATATCTTTGCAGCCTAATGGTGTAAACCTTTGTTATTTTAAACTTAGATTATCTAATCTAACAGAATTCATTGTGTGGAAAGATAAGATGACAAAATCAGAGTTTGTGGCAAAGACTCAATATCTTTCAAAATAAAGGTTCGCTCTATAAAGTAAACAAAGTTGAATTATTAAATCTGAAGGTTCTTCTTCTGCTTCTCCGGGTTAAAGGTTAAACTGTATTATTCCTGTGATAAAGTGTATATATGGAGTTAAACTAACCTCGCATGAATTATTATCACCAACATTCCTGGAATTCCGCACATTTTACTAAAAATAAATAAAACATTTGGCAAATTTTGTACTCTTTGCAGTTTGTTAGTTTGTTCGTCTGTTTTATATTAGCGGTAAGCTTTTAGTAACAATGTTAATTGTTCATAATTATTTTTATAGATCTCATAAAAACAAGATATTTGTTGTTTTAGCGCGGATTTCTTTAGACTCCTTTTTTAAGTACCAATCTCCATTTTACGTTTCAATTCACTGCAATTAATTAAGAATAAAAGGAATTTTGAAGAAATTTAAAAAAGGGAATTGAGAAAACAAAATTATACTAATTCCAGAATATTCACGTCAAAATTAACATTGAAATGTTACATAGTTTTAAATCATAACTACTATTTTGGGAGAACTATTGAGACGAAACAAATATTTTTAATTTACTTATACTTGTCTGGTGCAATCGAAGCCATAGAGGAGCTACGAGGTCACAAAAGTTAACTGAACCCTATTGAAAAAAAATCTCAATTTTGAATTCTTTTATTTTTCTACATTTTTATTCTGTGCACAGTCCTTTTAGATAATTGCATCCATGCAGGAGAACAGGAGTAATTGTTACTGGAGGCTAGCATTGCAACTTTATACACCGTGTAATATTAATGCTATTTAGGACAGGATAGGACAGGATAGGACAGGATAGGGGATAGGACAGGATAGGACAGGATAGGACAGGATAGGACAGGATAGGACAGGATAGGACAGGATAGGACAGGATAGGTCAGGATAGGACAGGATAGGACAGGATAGGACAGGATAGGACAGGATAGGACAGGATAGGACAGGATAAGACAGGATAGGACAGGATAGGACAGGATAGGACAGGATAGGACAGGATAGCACAGGATAGCACAAGACTGAGCAAAGTAAAGAAAATATCAGTTGTCAAAACTAAATTATATGATAAGAGCATAGTTTAAAATTAACTCACTTTGAAGCGTCGTTAATGTATGAAATATTACATAATTTGATTTCTAACCCTGACTTTGCGGTGAGTTTACAACGGGATGAATGTGAAACATGATATATCTGATAGCAATTCAAACATTTTTCGCAACGTAGTAATGTCTGCCAAGTTTTAAAAATAGCTAAAAAGAAAATTTTGTGTAAATTTTGTTGTGAAATAAATTCTGTGTGTGCAGTGAAAAAAAATTTCTTGTCACTTTCACGATTGGTCTATTTTTGTCTAATGTAGATGGGGGGGGGATGTTCCTAAGGTTTCGACGAAATTACCATATTTTTTAGCAAAATTTGCGTCATTTTCGTAAAAATAATTTTTTTTGCGAACTTTTGCGCATAAAGCACAACAAGTTTTACGCGTTTTTGTGCAATTTTTTTTTGCGTAATTTGCGCAAAACGTAAATTTTTACGCAAAATAAATTATTGCAAAATGACCAAAATTGACAGTTTCAGCACAGAATCAAACCTGAAACAACTGAAGCTTTATTCAAAAATTTATATAGAAAAAAATTCTACTCAATTGGTTACTTTTAGTTACAATATCTTTAAATCGAATTGCAAAATTTAATAAAACAGAAATTTGAAATTTGAAAATTGAAAATTGCTGCATAGTTTTTAATTTTATAGATGTCTAAATGTGTTGTTAAACTTTCCTACTTCAAATATGACTACTTCTAGTCGAATGCATATGATTGAAATATAAAAGGTCTAAGGCCTACTGAGATAAAGACAACACTGACACTTAGTCATAAAATTTTTACTCATACCACCTCGAAATTGGATACATTTTGTATACATACAACATAAATGTCGCAACACCTTGGCCTTTGGTTTTACCAACTTACTGATACTTATTTTTTGTAGGCCTTGATATATACATTTTAAAAATGCTACCCGTCTATTTCTATCTTGGCAAAATATTGCTCGACTTTTGTTTGAGATCGTGCACATCTTGATTTGCAGTGTGCCATGCATCAGGTTGCAAAATAGAGTTTTAGGCAAGTTATCATTTCCCTTTTAAGCATGACAATTATAGGTAAAAAGTGGAATCTCATAGATAACTAATCTATACAGTTTACACCTTTATTCAACCTTTTACTGAAAATTTGTTCCGTAAAATTGCAAAATACAATAAAGCAAAAGCGGAAAAGAGCATTTTGCGCGAAATGAAGTTTACGAATGATTGCGCAAAGTGCTATTTTTAGCGCAAAACTGTAGCGAAACAAAAGCAAAAATTTGCGCTTTCTTTCGCATAAATGTTGCAAATGGAAACCCCCCCTATGATTTTGGCCATACAGTTAAGATATGAGAGTGTAATACATGTCCCTTGTCCAACTTTTCCAGGCCAACTCATTAAAAACATTATTCCTCTAAAAAGCCAGGGTGCAAGGGAGGCTTTAAAAAAAGTTCAAAAGTTCGTCAGAAAAATGTTATTCAGATTTTTTTAAGAAAAGTTTGTCTCTGGAATTTTTTGTTTTAAAAAGTCATTTTTTTATTGATTTCATCTCAAAAATTACACAGGGAGTTAAATATGTACTGTTTATTGTTTCTCGTTGCTTAGGCAGAAACATGATTATATGTTTATATTTGACCTTTGAAACCCCTATGTTAACAGTTTTTTAAAGAAAAAAATATTACAAAAATTATTCTTTCATGTCAAATTGAAATGACTAAAACAAAATGTAATATTTGGATATCTTTACATTTTTTCCTGTGTTCAAACAGAGACATGGTTTCCAAAGTTTCTTTTTTTCGCAAAAAAAGTTCTTATTTAAAGTTGTTTTTAATTTCCTTAAAAACTTTGATCAATATGAACGGTTTCAATTTTTATTTTGGAAACAATGATAAATTGAATATTGTTTGTTTTGAGAAATTCTTTAAAATTTTTGTAAAATACTTAATTTAATTCTTATGCGTCACACACTTCAATGTTAAAAAAACCAGCTGATTATGAAAAACATTAAACAGCTGACCACTCTAGTCAAGAATGACGCGACATTTTGTGAATTTGAAGGGTCTTCAGTTTGCATTACCATGAAAAATTAGAAATATTCTGTGGATGACTAATTTTACGCAGAAATAATACATGAAATTCCAATAATTGCTTTCAAATTTACAATAAATGTTTGAGTATTCGTAAACTTTTTTTGCTTTATGATAAAATATTAATTCTTAAATATTTATGTTCATTTCTTTACATTCACAGAGTCAAAAAATTGTATTGGCAATCTTTTTTTTCTCTCCAAAATTCTTTAATTGCATTGACAGATTACCTATTCTATAAAGTAGTAATCTCTGTCTGTGTGTTTGTTTGTACGTCCGATGACAACTCAGGAACCCCTGGACCGTATTGCCTCAAATTTCAATTGAGGAACGCTGTAAAAGTTTTTAGTTGAAAAGGTTTACTTTGTTTTCAGACAAAGCTGAGTTACCAAGAAATTTGTTATAGGGATATTTTTGATTCATGGTCAGACAAAAGTAAATACTCCATTTCATAATTAATTTATGCAGAAATTTAGATTTGTGAAATGAACTTGGATTAAGTCACCAGTGGCTGAATTTAAAGAATTTGAGCGGCGGTTTAAATTTAAGCCGCGGTTTAAATATGGTTGGTTCCACTTAAAATTGCATCAAATGTTTCAAGATTTAAGCGGGCGCTTAATTTAAACCGGGTTCTGGTGGATTTAAACCGCGGCTCAAATTCTTTAAATTCCATCTCAGGGAGGATAAAAAGGCCGAAACCGACTCTGAGCGCTCAATGCATAGATTTCAAACTCAAAAGTTGTTACCTCAGAAAATGAGACCGACAGGAAAACGAAATTCCGCAAAAGTCCAAATGTTCAACAAAAATTGGTTTCCCGAAAATCCACTTGGATGTGCTTTGCAGAATCAAACTAGGATAAACGATTTTACAGTGGTTCCTAAACAATCAGTAAGTTGCCTTAATTGAAAAAAAGTGAAAAGAATGGAAAAATAAACAAATATACTGCTTCAATTTTACAATTGTATGAAGAAGTTAAAGGTAAAAACTTTACTCTTGTTAATCCCTGGATCTATCCGTATCTACAGGGTGTCCCAATAAACAACTTGTTTACAGGGTGACCCAATAAACAACTTGTTTACAGGGTGTCCCAATAAACAACTTGTTTACAGGGTGTCCCAATAAACAACTTGTTTACAGGGTGTCCAAATAAACAACTTGTTTACAGGGTGTCCCAATAAACAACTTGTTTACAGGGTGTCCCAATAAACAACTTGTGTACAAGGTGTGCACCTTTTACGAGCTTTTTAAAATGTGGTCTTTGGGTCTTTAAAATTGACGGAGATATTTCAGATTACATGTTTTAAATGTAATATTGAGGGAGATATTTCAGATTACATGTTTGAAATATAATATTGACGGAGATATTTCAGATTAAATGTTTTAGATATAATACTAAATTGAATTTACGAAAAAACAAAAACGATACAGAAGTCGTCACTTAATTCCCACTTAATTCCCACTTTTATATTGAATTATCGCATAAAGAATAACTTAATTCCTTTTGTAAATCCCGTGCTTTGAAATAAACGGAGCTAACTAAAATTGAAGGATCAAGAACTTAATCCTCCAATTTTAAAGGGTGCCACATTGGATGTCGAAATCAAGTTGTAGATTTTACCGATCCCATACCAAAATGTTAACCTCAGAATAAGTAAGTTTAGCGTATCAGGTCATACACGGCAGAGATTGTGAGAATTGCTTTAAATCATTGAATACATAAATGTATTATTTCTAAATTCTAACTTTTAATATGCAAAATTCTTAATAAGTAATCTTTTTAAACAGTTAATATTTCTACAACGGAAACAATGCTACTACTGCGATTAGACTTTAAAAGACTTAATAAGACTATTCGTAGATACTTGAATATTTTATAGGAAAGTGATTAAAATGTGTAGAGTTAAAAAGATGAAAGAATAATTATCAAGGATGTTTACAGGTTAGATGAGTTTGAAGGGGGGGATTAAATTTATTAAATAAAGGGTAAATGCATTGTGTTTAGGCCTTATCAGAGAAAAGTTAAACAATCTTAGTTTTTTGTATTGGCCTTGTGTAAACCTTAGAGGAATATGTTAAATTATGGACAAATATCAGAATTATGTTTGAATAAAAAAGGTTTTATTTTTTTTACATTTAAAAAAACTAAAAGAAACAGTAAAGTTTGGCAGTGATATGAAAAAGAAGAGAACGGATTGGAGTATTAAGGTGTTCGGACCTAACGGAGCGCTATCTCCGGGTTAACTGAAGAACTGAAGATCTGAGTCGGAACCCGCTTTCTAGACTTTGTTTCTCCCGTCCCTCTTCAATCCTTCTACCCGTCTCTCTTCAACACTTCTCCACTTACTTCATCAATCCTTCTCTCCGTTCTTCTTCATCCTTCTCCCCGTCCTTCTTGATCCTTCGCCCCGTCCTTCTTTATCCTTCTCCCCGTCCTTCTTTATCCTTCTCCCGGTCCCTCTTCAATCCTTCTCCTCCTACTTCATCAATCCTTCTCCCCGGCCTTCTTTATCCTTCTCCCCGTCCTCATCATTCCTTCTCCCCGTCCTTCTTCATCCTTCTCCTTGTCCCTTTTCAACACTTCTCCCCGTACTTATTTAATCCTTCTCCCTGTCCTTCTACAATCCTTCTGCCCGTCCTTCTTTATCCTTCTCCCCGTCCCACTTCAACACTTTTCCA